TCTTACTGTCAGGAAGTTCCTCCTAATGTTTAGATATATATGTTTTGCCTTCACAAATATTGATGTTTTCATTTCCTTTTTTAAGGCACGTCAAAACCTGTCAACTGGCCCAAACCAGTGTATATGCTAGATTCAGATCCAGACAACAATGGGTTCATCAATGAAGACTTCATTGTGTGGATGCGTACTGCAGCACTACCTACATTTCGTAAACTATATCGCCTTATAGAGAAGAAGGATAATCTCCTTCCCACTCTGCCGGTGGGAAACTATTCCTTGGTTATAACCTACAGTATCCTTTATTTGAAAGTTCCAAGGGCTGTACCTTTGATATACAAACTTTGAAGTCATTAAATAGGTAGTAAATAAGGACCTACAGGTAAATAAAAGCCAGTGTACTTACTTTAAAATGTGTAGGCAGAGCCAAAAGAGGGTTATGTAGCTATTTGAATTATACTTCTCTTGGTGCAAAGGTTGGCTTTGATGACTAAGTTGATTCAAAGATTCTGGGTAGTGCTGCATATATGTTGCATTCCCAAGGTTTTTTTAATCTATTGGAATGTAAAAGCTCTCTTGGGATCCTCTAACTCAAGGTGAACAATTGTTGTGGGGCCAGGACCACTTTTCAAGTTGACCAGGTGCTCAAGGGTTGCACTCCCTTCCCCTTTCCAAGTCTTTTTATTTTTTCACCTGTTCTTTGCAGGAAGATCCCAATATTGAGAAATTAACAGCAGAGGTGCTCATTGTTGATGTTTCAGGCGTTGCTTAAGCTTCTAACTGTGAACATTTAAAGGGCTCCAAATGCCCACTAGTCACATTTACTTTATTTCAATAAATATTATTAAAGTTATTATTAGTATTAAAAAGAAAATCATCCCAAAACCCACATAGAAGATTCTTAGTATTGAAAAAGTAGATTCATCTCAAATATCTAAAATTCATGAAACTTTAATTTATTTAATATGATATTTACAAGGGATTAGCTGACTTGCTGTGATATTGACTGTGCTGCTGACTGCAAATGCACTTTCCCATTGACTAAACCTTGGTCTATCTTTGTCCCAGGAGGTGTTGGTTTTGAAAAAGCTCCTCTCCTAGCCTAAAAGTATATGTGTAGGTGATCTATAGACCAGTTGAAATTACCCTCTATGGTCCCTAGATGGCATTGGGGGCTTTTTAGGTGAATTAAAATGGAAAGTGGAGGCCTTGAGAGGGGTCACACTGAGACTACTGCAGAGACTGCGTATGCTCCACAGGCTGCACTTGTCCACCTTGGCTGTACAAAGTATTACACTATGACCGTTTCTGTGTGACTGGTACCTGCAGTTTCACATATCTGAAAAATATGGCCTGTTTAGGCATCTAGAGGTCCTGCAGTGCAATTCTGTGGTCAACTTTCAGTGGAAATGTAGGGTTCACCGTTATCCACAATTTTCACTCTCTGTGGTAAGTCTGGGAATTTATCCCCTGTAGATACGGGGATCATATTGTACATTGGTGTGGGATATTTGCCTTTTAGGTGACCAATGTGTAAAGAGGTCTGTGTAGATGGGGTCTGTGCCCCTACACCCACCTCAGACATTGCATAGCTCCTCTTAGCATAGCTAAATCTAGCAACACCATGGGTAGGCAACCTTTCCCCTTTAAGGGCCGAGGGACTTCAGCTCCCAGAATCCCAGGAGCTATTGGCCAACATGGGACTATTGGCCAACATGGCTGAGGTTTCTGGGAGCTGAAGTCCCTCGGCCCTTAAAGGGGAAAGTTTGCCTACCCCTGAGCTACACCTTCCATGTACATCTCAGGCAGAGAAGCATTTTTATGTTGGCTTCTGTGAGCTCTGTCACTCTGTACAATTGAGTTTCCGTAACTCAGAGAAGCCTCCATGCATGGATATATATGCACAAATATTTCCCAACGACATATGCAGATATCTCAGTATTGGGGCTAAAAATGGGGACATTATACCCCTTCATGTGAGCAGTGCATGAGGAAGACAGATGGAAGGATTGTATTTAAAAGTTAACCACGCATCTTTATGCTTAATCCTTACCATATTAGAACCACTCAGTATTCCCCATAGTAAAAGATATTGGTCTGTTTCTGCTTTGCAACCTTAGAACAGATGGGATGAATGATCACATTCCCAAGAGCCACGCCAAACACCATGCTTTCTTTTGGCTCTAAAACACAACTCAGATACAACTGCACTGGAAGAGGCCATCCCATCACTCAACTTTTTTCTTTCTCATAACTTTTACAGCCAGTCCATATGATTTGGAGTAATTCTCTCCACAGCAACTTTGCCAGCCAATAATATTTTGAGAAATGAAATAGCCATGGGTTATAAGATCTTAAAACCAATAATATCATTTCAAAGCAGTGATGGTTTTTAAAACATGTTCTTTCTCTGGATGATTAGATATTAGTGTTATTGTCTCCATTGGGGAATGTTTTTCCTATACCTGAATCAGATTATCCTGTGCATAGCTTTGATGGGAGAAAACGGATGATCTTGAGCACCATTTCGTGGATGGGAGGCAAAAATCCCTTTTTGGGAATAGCTTACATAACTGTTGGCTCCATCTGCTTTTTTCTCGGAGTAGTGTTGCTATTCATACATCACAAATATGGAAATAGGAACAGTAGTGCGGACATACCCAATTAATCCCATCTCTCCAAATCACATGTACTGCATGTGCATCAAGGCCAGTCCAGAGTGGACACTGCTTTTCAAAGCTATCCCTGGTAAATGTTACTCGTGACACTGAATGCATAAGTATATCTGAAGCCTTGTTTCCCTTACAATGGACTAACTTGAGGATAACAGCTATAAAAGTTAACTTAAATAAAAACAGTGCGGGTTAGCGGATTTTTGACATTTTCCTCTTGCTGGACAAGTGCCATGATGCGCATATAGTCTTTCCTCACCTAATGCATCTGCTGCTTGTTTGTTCATGTGCTTTGTAATATGTCAGTACTGTGTACAGACTGTGTGACAAGATTGTGTTTAGGATAGAGTAGCTTTGTTAATATTTGGGGATATAAGAATGTGCTGGTGCTACTGGAAGAAAAAGAGAGCTGTCCACTGTTTTGTCACACATGACATTGTGCGCATGGGCTTCATGCTCCCTACAGCACTTACTGTATTCAACTTATACAACTCATTCTGCATTGAGCCCAACTACATGTTTAAAGGTCAGACTACTTTCCACCAAGTTTGCTAGGCATGTGAAATTGTGCAAGAAGCTTACCTCTTGATGATTATCTCTTAAAAGCTGCTTTCCACATGGGAATAACTGCTATATATAAAGCTCTTTTATTAAATTGTACATGCTTTTCTCTTACACCCAGCACCTTGTATGGATCAGATCTCCTAGCATGTCTTCTACAGAATTAGGGAGATTTTTTTCCCCCAAAGCTAGTCACAACCATGTGTCAAGTACAGAAATTGTCTCCTTTGATTCAAAGCATCCACAATTCATCATTTATTCCTAATTCAGAAGAAGCATTAAACTTCCAAGAGGTTTCCAGCTCCTTAAGTTCCTTTGCTCCTCAGATGTAACTTAGCTTGCCAGTAAAAAGCAAGCAACAAAATTGCTGTGGTGGCATAAGTGGGGACTTTGGCATCTTGCAGATTTTCAATCAAATCTGTCCAGATTTTAAGAAGCCCACTCAATGATAATAAAATTGTACATGTTGAATTGCTATGTACATGGAGATTATATTACATGAAACTGGTTTGTTTGTCTGAATATTTGCTATTGAATAAATCTGTTTTTGTTTATGAAAATATCATTAGCAAAAATGTGTTTTTTTAAAGTAGCTCAATTTGGGGTGGCAATCTAGAGGACAGAAAAGTTAGTCAAAAGAACAGGAGCTCAAAGCTTCCCGATATAAATATTGTACACAGGCGCTTTGGATTCTAAGAGTCATTGGATCATTTTCTGTGTGAAACAATTTGAAAACCAGAGGAATAAAGTAAAATGTGTATGGAAACAACTCTGTGTAAGAATGTGAAGTCGAAGGCTTTCACAGCCAGCATCCATGGGTTTTTTTTTGGGGGGGGGGGTTGAATTTTTTGGGTTTGTGGCCGTGGCAGCCACAAATGCTGGTGAAATGTCAGGAATAAACTCTTCTAGAACATAGCCACATAGCCTGAAAAACCCACAAGAAACCCTGTGTAATAAGGAGTTTGAAGCAGAAGCATCATGGTGGCACTACAGAATAAATAGCAAATGGTTGGTGTTATCTTAAACACTTTTCTTTCACAGTTACTCCCCCCCCCCAGCTGACAAATTCATATTGTATAAGGCCAGTATTCCTAGGTTTATAGGGCTTCATGAATACTTACTGACCAGGGAGAGTCTAACTTAATTGTTCAGGACATGCATATGAATTATGTGTCTTTGGGTGCTAGAGAGTAAAAAATGAGATGACATGTTCTGCTTAAATTTTTAATGAAAAGGATTAAATAATGGAACAATCTGATTCAACTGCTTGATAAAATGCTGCAATTTTTTCGACTTGACACATCTTTAATTACGGTAAATTGCTTTCCCTTTTTTCCAACTCTTAATATAAGAGATATCTAATTTGCTTTCTTTGATATTTTCCCCTTGAAATTGGTGGAGACCCATTCTATACCTTAGTTCCCCACTGGATTAGCCAAATGCCTTCAAATGCTGGATCATGCTAGGCTGTACAACCAATCTCAGACAACACTATTTTAATCCTGCTAGCTTGGTATTTGTATAGCTTGGTATTGTATTTGTATTTGGTATAACTAAATCAAGTAGTAACATAAAGTAAATTCTAGAAGCCTTAGGTGGTGGTAGGGATTGCTTTTGTTGTGGTATGCTTTCAAGTTGTTTCCAACATATGGCAACTCTAAGGTGACCCTATGATGGGGTCTTCTTGGCAAGATTTGTTCAGAGAGTTTGTCATTACTCCCCTCTAAGGCTGAGAGAGCATGAGTTGGTCAAGGTCACCCAATGGGTCTCTGTAGTTGAGGGGATTTGAACCCTGGTCTCTAGAGTCCTAGTCCAACATTGAAACCACTACACCACAGTGGCTTTCTTCATCCATCCCTCATGTTTTGTTCTTCATACATCTTATCCTCATTCCCCTTCTCTGAAATTGCTCCAACTTGTCTATGTCCTTTTTAAAAAGAGGTGCCCAGAACTGAGCACAGTACTCCAGGTGAAGCGTGACCAGCGCAGAATATAGTGGAACTATTCCTTCCCTTGACTTGGAAACTGTACTTCTATTAATGTAGGCTAAGATAGCATTTGGCTTCTGGGCTGCAGCATCGTACTGCTGGCTCATAATCAATTTATGATGAGTTCAATTTTCTAACTGATCTTGATCGAGAGATTTAAATAATATATATCAAGCCTGTGACTCACCTTTTAACCATAAACTGAGTGAAGAAAAACTAGATAGAGGTTTGCCAGCAGCTGACTTCTCATAGATCTATCATCTGACAAAATCAGTTATATACAGTACTGTCAACTGTTCTTATGAAACAGCTGGAAAGAATGAGGTGTGGTACGACCATCGGTCCATCATTAGGATTTGGCTAACAAGTGAACAGACTTATGTGCGTTATTTGGGTATCTTGTCACCCATGTCCTCTTTTACCACATGCCATTTTTAAATTAGATATAACCTCAGTATTAATGACCAAAAATGAAAGATAGTGGTGTTTGTAGGGAGGAATTGTGCATTGCATGGGTAGGGTATCACTCTTTTTACAGTGGTAGATAATTTCTTGCTTAAATGCCTTGTTTTAATGTTAATCATACAAAATTATTAGAAAATGTAAGTAAGTTATTTTCTGTGGTCCTTGCTCCTCATCCTGATAGAACCAGCTCTGTAACAGGTTTGGAACAACAACAACAACAATTTTTTATTTATACCCCGCCCCTCTGAGCACAATCAAGGCAGCTAACAACAATTAAAATTTGTACAATATAAATACAAAGAAACCCGAGACCCACCCACCCCCTTAAAAAAGTATTAAACCAGCAACTTGTTTATCCATAGTATAGACTGCTTTTAGGAGTTTTTAAAAGAGTATTATGTGTTTAAAACTATTTTTATCTTTGCATTGTTTTATTTAATTTGTTTTGCCTTGAAAGTCCTTATGGGCTGGGAAGTGATACAGTATACTTCAAATGAATGAACAAACAGAGTATTTTGCCCATGTTACTATAGTTCAAAGTAGTACTCTTTACACCTCAGCCATTGATCTATGTAAATACATTGTGAAAACTGGTATTATAAATACCTAGTCCAGTTCTTGTCTGTTAAACTCCCTATCAGCAAGATATATAGAGAGGGAGAGAGCTCAAGATTGAGAGAAAAAACAGTTTACAGATCATTTCCTTTTAGAGCAGTAGTATGAACTCAAGCTTTGGCCTTGAAAATATGTGTGTATACCATGTTTAAAGAAAATTCATTATTTGTTCCTGAATTGCCCATCATCGCATAGCTGGATTCTTTCCTTTTTCAACAGCATAAAATACATCTTTTGTGTAAATACTGATTAGCTGATCACAGTGCTTTAGGGCATCTTGAAAGTGAATTAAAAATAAATGCCAAATATCTCAGAAAAGCTGTGCTGTATATTTAGCCCTTAAAACTATTGATTGAAAACCTGCATAGTGTTTTTCTGTTTGTTTTTGTAAAGCACTTTCTGATTCACGGCTTAAATCATTTGCCTGTAAATCCAGTTATTTTGTAACAAGCTTATGTGGAAGTTGGCTTTATATTTCAATTTTCAGAAAATTTCAGGCAGTGAAGAAAATATAGATTTCTGCCCAGGGTGACCAGATGTTCTCCTTTTCCAGAGCACGACCTACATTTCAGCCTTCTCTCCAGGAGCAGTTTCAAAATGTCCTCCATATTGAGCATGACTGAGAAGCATGACTGTACATTTATATGTGCTTTCAGCTTTTATTTGGTAATGTTCTACATTTTTCTTGAATGCCCTATATTTTGCGGTGCCCTGGCCTTCTTTGCAGTTGTGACATCTGGTCACTGTTTCAGCAAGACATCAGTGAAGCAATCACTTCATTTTGAAAGTATTTCTGGTGTGGTTGCAAGGTGAACCTAAACCAGGGGTAGGCAACCTTTCCCCTTTAAGGGCCGAGGGACTTCAGCTCCCAGAATCCCAGGAGCTATTGGCCAACATGGGACTATTGACCAACATGGCTGAGGCTTCTGGGAGCTGAAGTCCCTTGGCACTTAAAGGGGAAAGGTTGCCTACCCCTGACCTAAACCAAGGCTCATTCCTTACAAATCCCTACATTTCCCTACAAAGAGATTTCATGGGAGTCTAGCATCAAATGGAAGGACTGATTCTCAGGATGCTTAATTCAGTTTAGTCATGAATCAGGGTGGTGTTTTCCTGTCCTACTATAACTATTGATTAACTCATAAATGCTAGGAAGGGCATGTGAGCACCATATACTGTTCTTGAAAGTGTTCTTTATTTTATACACCTTTAATTTTTCCATATGTCACAGACTACCTCTTGCTTAGTACAGGTTCAGTATCCTTATCCCAAATTCTGAAATCTGAAATACTCCATACTCCAAATTTGTCCACACAGGTGGCTGAGATAGTGGCACCTTTGCTTTCTCATGGTTCAGTGCGTACAAACTCTTTCATGTACAAAATTATTAAAAATACGGTATATAAAATTAACTTCAGGCTAGGTTTATAAGGTGTACACAAAAGATAAATGAATTTCATGTTTAAAACTTGTGTCCCATCTCCAAGTTACCTCTATGTGTATGCAAATATTCCAAAATTGGGGGGGGATCGGAAATCCAAAACACTTCTGGTCCTAAGTATTTTGGAGAAGGGAAATCCAACCAACCTGTATGATATCAGATATGTATGATCTCTGTGTGTGTGTGTGTGTGTGTGTGTGTGTGTGTGTGTGTG